TCGCGTAGTCGACCGAGGGTCGCACTGGTTCGACACACGGCTGCTCTGCATTGATCCAGATGCAGCTGCCACCCGTCAGGTCGTGTTATACGACGCAAAGCATGTTCAACAATTAGGGCATAGTACATGGTTCAATCGAGCCAGATAACGCTGTCGTTCACGATACTGAATATGTTTATCCGAATATGTTTATTCCGTAAACTATAAAAGCGGCGCCAGCAAACGAATGATGTTATGCACATATGATGGGCTATTTTCGTCATTTTCAATCTCAATCGTTTTTTTTTCTGGTTGATTGGCAGTTATTTGGGAGGGGACAAAAATAAATCCACACATCTAGTGATGGGTATGAAGTACACGCTGACGGCCTGCTTCTTGTTTGTTTCAGTTGGTTTCGATAGTTTTTGAATATAAGTTTACCCTCCATGTATTCCACGTATAATATGCACCGGCATCCAAACAGTCCATGATAGCACTACTACCCATTAGATTGGGTTGTCAATGCCACGTACGAGTCCCAGGCCCTTCCGGATCGACACCAATCCGTCTAATCGAGGCATTCAGTCACAGCTCTCCTCGTTTTCAGTTTCAGTTTGTACAACCATGAACCGAACACTTTCGTGCGCCGATTTTGGTTGCTGTCTTTTGGCTGCCCATTTAGATGAGCAATAGGAGAAAGACAGGAAAGGTTGGAAGTAGGATCGAAGATAAAATTGAAAAGTTCAGTGGACTAATGAAGCGGAGAAATTGTGAAGATGCACGAACGCCACTGTTTACGACACTCAGTCATATCACTGAGTGTCACTAACCATCCGTTACAATCATCCCGAGGTCCCCAGCCAGGGAGCCCAACGGAACTATGTGACCCAGTCTCTTGGTTAGGGTTTTCATACCCTCGTGCCAGGTCTTAGCTCGACCACCCTTGGCTGTATTCTACCCACTACCTGCCTCGGCGGACATCGTTCGTCGTGGCAACCTATTGGCTGACATGCGTAACAAACCCCAACCAACGTAATCTATGGAGGTCAACCACGTGCTCCAGTGTTCGACAGCAGATACCTAAAACTCTGCGCCTAACCTCAGCCGTTCTATAAGTCTGTTCGTGTTTCAAAGTGTATCACACTACAGGTCATTTGTGTCTAACCGGTAAACCCGATATCTGCTTCCTTCATTGATTGAGTGCCCTGTTCCGACTACGATTGTTTCAGTCAAATAAGTATCTATGTGCTGGAGCTAATTTTTTGTGATTCTGAATATCGTCAATTGTATTAAAATTGGCCCATTGTCCAGGGTCCAAGTGCTCTTTTCTATTCCGTGAATAGATATTTCCGATTAAAACTGTAACTTAGGCTTGCATTAATCTCCGTCAATACGTAAACTACATTCTTTCTCGTTTCACGTACCAGAACGATGGAGATAATCCCACTCCCGACAGTTCTGGGGATCTGGATCAACAAATACGTGCACGTGCCCCCGCAGCCGATTCTTCAAT